AAGTGAACAGTTTTCTCTGTTTAATTCTGACAGCGTTTGTGAGTGCGTATCAGTTACCTATCGAGTGAACAGTTATCTGTTTTTTTGCTGACAACGTTTGTGAGTGCGTGTCATTTGTTTAGAGTGGGAGTAATCGGCCTTTGAGGCAACTACACTGACACGGCAATACTGAACGCGTCGTGTGTGCCGTCTGTGGAGCTGAATGTTTATAGACGCACAGAGAAGTAGATATAGTACTTGTCTAAAGTGTGTTTTAACGTATATCTGTAAACAATGAGTGTTTTTAAGCGTATATATGTATACAATAAGTTTGTTTTAACGTATACCTGTATACAATGTGTCTTGAGGAGTATATATGTATACAATAAGTGTGTTTAAATATATCTGTATACAAAAAGTGTATTTAAATGTATGTCTGTTTACAATATGTGTCTTGAGGAGTATATCTGTACACAATAGGTGCCTACCTATAGGAGTCGTTGAGCTTCATTCTAAATGATAAAGCTTCCCTAACTGGTGTCTCGGAACGCAGACAACGGCATCAGTGCTGCAGCAGCGCATTTGCGGGGTATATCGTGACCAAGTATATGTCTGTATTGCACATGTTTGTCTTATCGGTACACATGCCAATATATACGCAGTACCAGTACAACTACAGACCATTTATATCTTCATCCTACGCCCAAAACATGACATATACTTAACCACCCCACCCGTTTCCCTGCTATCGCACCAGCATCAACGAGGCCCATCGACAGGCTCTAACCAGCCAACCAACACGCGCGCAGGTGTGCGGAATGACGTGGAAGGTCCACTCTCGCCACACACCCCACACACGCCGCACACACCTGCAGAACCTATCCCACACACGGCCGACGGAACGGGCGATGGACTGCTTAGAAAGCCAGCAGATGCACCGGTGAGTGTATGCACCTGTACACATAGGTGGTTGTATAAGTGGGTGAGTGTATGCACCTGTATACATAGGTGGTTGTATAAGTGGGTGGGTGTATGCACCTGTACACATAGGTGGTTGTATAAGTGAGTGTGTATGCACCTGTATACATAACTCATCATGATACATCATGATACGTACGTCTACAGGTATACACAACTACGGCTACTAATACACAGCTGTATATGTGTTGAATTCTTCTGTGTCTCTGTTTCTATGCAATCGGTTTTCTATGAAATCTTCATATCTTCTTTTTCCAATATCACGTCGATCGGAACTCGGCATAGAAACGTGAGTGGATTTAGTCGAGTGTTGTAATAGGATATCCGGAATTTGCAAGTCTCTTGTCGATTGGTCATACAACACATACTAAACTCGGAATCAGACGAGTGCTGTAGTAGTACATACAGCGTGTGAAAGTTTCTGCTCGAGCAGTCACACAATACTTACCTACCTCGATACATGTAGATCGTTTACACTGATATGTGTTTTGGACAATAACAGGTTGGCGCCAAGCGGGTTCTGAGCCAATCAGATTCTCAGATCAACGCAAACGGAAGTGTGTGCCAATCAGAAGTCGACAGAGACGTGGAGCACACAAAAGGCGCGGCATCGCACAATCTGAAGGACAGCATCTACAGATCACCACGGTCCAGAGGAACAGAAAGTATGTGGCACACACTGAATCGCTCTAGTACACTGAATCACGCTAGTCTATTTATAGCACAATTAAACAGCGCATGATGAGATGTGGCACGGTTGAAAGTCTTCACAGTTCTAAAAATAGAACACATGGTTTCGATCGCTTTTAGTAGTGCGATAGCATATACCAATTCTGCTGGAAACCCCAACCGCAAAATTCAACAGACAGTGTGTTCCCTAATTGTAGCTAATTACAGTATGTTCTTCGATAGCTCAGATACTGACTGTACGCCCTTCTGCTCTGACTCATCGCAGAGAATATCACGCGACGACAGACCGCCGACAACGACACACGGAATCGAAGTGACACGTTCATCCGACAGGCGGAGAATACGTGGCACAGACAAGCAACTGCCAAATACCAACCACACCCGGGTATGACAGAGGGCGAAATACAGTACTAGTATATTTTCTTAATGCTTCAATATAGAAATTATCGTCCACACCAACACACGAGATTAGCCACGTCTTATA